AAGAAGCGTATACCTTCTCTCAAGCATATGAATGCTATAAACAGCTGAATAGGCAAAAACCATACGGATGGGTTTAGACTCCTAGCAGTCAAACTGGAACAGCATACAATAAATCCTCCCCCAATAATGAGACGACACTTGACTTTGAGGGTTAAGCAGGAACTGACTGTACTGGCACATACAGCCTCTTTTATTCCCAATCCACAAATTTAGTACTGCCCACAGGGTTTTACAGAACAACCAATCAATCTGTACAATACCCACAGACACTCCCACACAAAATCCTCCCCCCTGCCTGTGATACAATTACCTTACACAATGGGTAATCTAATTATCAAAGACAGAGAAATACAGTTTCATAAAATACATCACAAGGACCTCAAAACATGCAATAACCCCATAAAAAAATCCTTGGAACTGGGGGATCTGGGTGAACCACATATCCAAAATTCACCCAGATCCGTTCAGTACTTTGGAAGATACAGTTTAATGCAGATTCTGCAGAACATATACAGGCTAAATGAAAAACAATCACTGTATAATGTGTCCCCTGCTGTATAGTCCAAAACCACTGCACGATGTCTCTGTGCACCAAATACTGGCGAGATGGCACCGTGTTGAAAAGTCCAAACAGTGTCTGTGAGTTAAAATGGCCGCCATCCATTGTTCTCACCATGTGCTTCATCCATTGTTCTCACCATGTGCCTCTGATACAGGAAATGGTGGCCACCCAGTAACTCCACAGTATGTCCCCAGATGGTTCTTAAAGGGCCAGCAGCAGCACAACACAAATCCCTTATGCCCAAATCATGTCTTTAAAGGGCAATACATCCCAGGGGCCATAGTCACATGGCAGGAGGCTGGCAATCAGTCTTCTCCAATGCCCAGTGGCGAGGTCGGTTTCGCCACATTTCTCCCCTTTCCCAAAAAGACTAACAAGGTATCTGACCTCCTGTCGGTCAATGCCTTGGTTAGTCCAGCAACCCACCCACAAAACAGTCAGTAGTGCAGCCCACCCACAAGAATTGGTTACTGCACCTGGGGTAGTGGGTAGCTTGGCCATGTCCAGGGGCTCCACCATGGCTCTGGGGGTACTAGCCTTCTGGATCAGTGGGTTGCTGAGTGGGCAGAGACCAGCGGTACTCTGCCCTGGTGCCAGCACTACCAAGGTAGTAGCCTGGTTGGAGCCCAGCTGAGGAGAAGGGTTAGTAGGCTCCTCCCGCTGGACCTTGTGTTGCTGCTGGAGGGGTAGACAGGCTGTCTCCCCTTCGGATATACAGCTCTGCTGCTGGGGGACAGGACTGACCGTCCCTACCCCCTGTGGTTTGGGCACAGAGACCACAGTCCCATCTGCACCGGTGTGGGGCTTATCATCTCCCCTTGGTGGGCTAGGCTGCCGCTGGGGAGGGGGAACGAGACTCTCCCCTCCCGGTAGAATTCTCTGCCGCTGTGGAGCAGGACCGACTGTCCGTACTCCCGGTAGCTTGGGCGCAGAGACCACGGCCCCAACTGCGCTGGTGGGGGGCTTAGTGTCTCCCCATGGTGGGCTACGCTGCCGCTGGGGAGAGGGGGTAACAAACTCCTCTCCCTTACACATTTTCAACCGCTGGGGAGAGGGGGTAACAGGCTCCTCTCCCTGACTCTCAGCAGGTGGAGAGGGGGACTGACTGTCTCTCCTTTCAATATATTGTCCCGCTGCTGGGAAGCGAGACCGACTGTCTCTGCTCCCTGCAGGACACACTGCTGGGGAGGAAGGACGGCACCTTCGGCTCCCTGTGACTCACTGGACTGCTGGGGAGAGGGACCAACTGTCTCCTCTCCTAAGGACACACTCTGCCGCTGGGGAGGAAGGACAGCACCTTCAGCTCCCTGTGATACATACTGCCGCTGGAGATCTGGGCCGACCGCCCAGCATCCCTGTAGGGCCGGTAGAGAGACCGCCGTCCCATCTCCACCTGCCATCTGTGGGTCTTCCCAGGACCAGTCTGTGAGGTCCCTCAACATTTGCGAGTAAGGATCACCTGCTTCCGCACCTGGCTCATTGACAGCCGCTAGAGGCGCTTGCGTGCTTCTCACTGTGATTTTCACAGTGAGAGCACGCCAGCGTCCATAGGAAAGCATTGTAAATGCTTTCCTATGCGACCAGCTGAATGCGCGCGCAGCTCTTGATGCGCGTGCGCATTCAGCCCAGGAGGAGGAGGATCGGAGGAGGTAAGTTTTTACCCCTTTCCCCTTCCAGAGCCGGGCAGGAGGGGGTCCCTGAGGGTGGGGGCACCCTCAGTGCACTATAGTGCCAGGAAAACGAGTATGTTTTCCTGGCACTATAGTGGTCCTTTAAGAAAAAGGATAAATGAGTCATTTATTACTTGTGAGTTTACAGAGGAAGAGGTTCTATTTCAACTGAGAAAAGTAAAGACAAATAAGTCAATGGGACCTGATGGAATACACCCAAAGTTATTAAAAGAGCTTAGTGGTGTACTAGTAAAACCATTAACTTATTTAACCAATCATTGTTAACAGGAGTAGTCCCAGAAGATTGGAAGTTAGCGAATGTTGTGCCCATTCACAAGAAAGGTAATCGGGAGGAGTAGGGCAACTATAGGCCAGTAAGCCTTACTTCAGTAGTGGGGAAAGTGATGGAAACTATGTTAAAGGATAGGATTGTTGAACATCTAAAAAAAACACATGGCTTTCAAGATCAGAGACAACATGGGTTTACTTCAGGGAGGTCATGCCAAACTAATCTTATTGATTTTTTTGATTGGGTAACTAAAATTATAGATCAGGGTGGTGCAGTAGACATTGCTTACCTAGATTTCAGTAAGGCTTTTGACACTGTTGCACATAGAAGGCTTATCAATAAACTGCAATCTTTAAGTTTGGATTCCAATATTGTTGAATGGGTAAGGCAGTGGCTGAGTGATAGGCAACAGAGGGTTGTAGTCAATGGAATATATTCGAAGCTTGGACTTGTCACCAGTGGGGAACCTCAGGGATCTGTACTTGGACCCATTCTCTTCAATATTTTTATAAGTGATATTGCAGAAGGTCTTGATGGTAAGGTATGTCTTTTTGCTGATGATACTAAGATATGTAACAGGGTTAATGTTCCAGGAGGGATAAGCCAAATGGCAAATGATTTAGGTAAACTAGAAAAATGGTCAGAATTGTGGCAACTGACATTTAATGTGGATAAGTGCAAGATAACGCATCTTGGACGTAAAAACCCAAGGGCAGAGTACAGAATATTCGATACAGTCCTAACCTCAACATCTGAGGAAAGGGATTTAGGGGTGATTATGTCTGATGAAAGGTAGGCAGACAATGTAATAGAGCAGCAGAAAATGCTAACAGACTGCTTGGTTGTATAGGGAGAGATATTAGCAGTAGAAAGAGGGTGAGAAGTGCTCATGCCATTGTACAGAACACTGGTGAGACCTCACTTGGAGTATTGTACACAGTACTGGAGACCATATCTTCAGAAGGATTTTGATACCTTAGAGAGAGTTCAGAGAAGGGCTACTAAACTGGTTCATGGATTGCGGGATAAAACTTTCCAAGAAAGGTTAAAGGATCTTAACATGTATAGCTTGGAGGAAAGACGAGACAGGGGGGATATGATAGAAACATTTAAATACATAAAGGGAATCAATACAGTAAGGGAGGAGACTATATTTAAAAGAAGACAAACTACCACAACAGGAGGACAGTCTTAAATTAGAGGGACAAAGGTTTAAAAATAATATCAGGAAGTATTACTTTACTGAGAGGGTAGTGGATGCATGGAATAGCCTTCCAGCTGAAGTGGTAGAGGTTAACACAGTAAAGGAGTTTAAGCATGCGTGGGATAGGCATAAGGCTATCCTAACTATAAGATAAGGCCAGGGACTAATGAAAGTATTTAGAAAATTGGGCAGACTATATGGGCCGAATGGTTCTTATCTGCCGTCACATTCTATGTTTCTATGTATGTGTGTCAGTGAGCATGTCTGTAGTAAGCATGCATGTTTATGTGAGTGAGCTTGTAATGAGCATGTGTGTGTGTCAGTGAGCTTGTCTGTAGTAAGCATCTTTGTGTATACCAAGGAGTTTGTCTTTAGTAAGCTTGTGTGTGTGTCAGAGAGTTTGTGTGTACCTGGTAAGCTTGTCTGTTTTTGTCAATAATCTTGTGTGTGTCAGTGAGATTGCCTGTCTGTTAGTCTGTGTACCAGTGAACTTGTGTGCTTGTGTCAATGAGATTGTTTGTGCCTGCATGTGAGTATGCTTATTTTTACTAGTATATATAATTAAAAAAGGAACATACCACTAATAAAACTTTATATATTTATATATCCTTCAGTGAGAATGTTAAATATCACTTTATAACATTTAAAACATGGCTACGTCTTGCTACCCCAGATTGAGTATTTCTAATTCATAAACATATATTATATATATATATATAATCTATGGAAAAAAAACGTATGCCAGCCCTTTAAGTCATTGTGCCACGGTAGTGTTTGTGTGTGTGTTTATGTATGTATGTATATATGTGTATATCTATATATATATATATATATACACAAACAAACACTACCGTTGCACAGTGACTTATGGGGCTGGCATACATTTTTTTCCATAGATTTTATATATATACAGGAAGTGTAGAATTATTAGGCAAGTTGTATTTTTGAGGATTAATTTTATTATTGAACAACAACCATGTTCTCAATGAACCCAAAACACTCATTAATATCAAAGCTGAATATTTTTGGAAGTAGTTTTTAGTTTGTTTTTAGTTATAGCTATGTTAGGGGGATATCTGTGTGTGCAGGTGACTATTACTGTGCATAATTATTAGGCAACTTAACAAAAAAACAAATATATACCCATTTCAATTATTTATTATTACCAGTGAAACCAATATAACATCTCAACATTCACAAATATACATTTCTGACATTCAAAAACAAAACAAAACAAATCAGTGACCAATATAGCCACCTTTCTTTGCAAGGACACTCAAAAGCCTGCCATCCATGGATTCTGTCAGTGTTTTGATCTGTTCACCATCAACATTGCGTGCAGCAGCATCCACAGCCTCCCAGACACTGTTCAGAGAGGTGTACTGTTTTCCCTCCTTGTAAATCTCACATTTGATGATGGACCACAGGTTCTCAATGGGGTTCAGATCAGGTGAACAAGGAGGCCATGTCATTAGATTTTCTTCTTTATACCCTTTCTTGCCAGCCACGCTGTGGAGTACTTGGACGCGTGTGATGGAGCATTGTCCTGCATTAAAATCATGTTTTTCTTGAAGGATGCAGACTTCTTCCTGTACCACTGCTTGAAGAAGGTGTCTTCCAGGAACTGGCAGTAGGACTGGGAGTTGAGCTTGACTCCTGTAACGAGAATATACCCCAACACGCAGGATTCAGCTAAACAAAAGACAACACAGAGGAGAGCTACGTCTACCGGACCTTAGAATGGCCGGACTCGACGTATATGAGAGGAGACAGAGTCAGGAACAATCCGAAATCAAGGGCACAGAGAGACAGCGTAAACTAGGACAAGCCGGGGTCTGGTACACAGTAAACAACAAGCCGACAACCAGAACAGATAAGGATAAAGAGAAAACGTAGTCAGAAACAAAGCCAAGGTCAATACGGAGAAACACAACTGAACACAACAAGCGCTAAAGGGAACTGATAAAGAAACCACGATAGGGCAAGGAACAAAGGAAAGAAGGTGAGTATAAATACCTAAACATCTAATTTGATTGGTCCCTGTCACATCCACGCCCCCAAAAGGTAAGTGTATGGGGAGTGTGGCATGACAGGGACCAATGGGATGCCTTTTCCAATTTAGGCACCCACTGTCCCTTTAAGAGCGCGCCCGATACCCGCGGCGCGCTCTTAGAGTAGGTAGAACACGTGACCGCTACTAGTTACAGCGGTCGGCTGAGCCGCGCGCGGCTCGTGCAGCAGCAGGACCGCGCGCGGCTCGAACAGAGGACCCCGGCCGGCCCCTGGAAAGGGTAAGTACCGCTACATTACCCCCCCTGAGGACACGCCCTCCGGGCGGGGAGGGCCAGGCCTGGCAGGAAAACGAGAATGGAAAGAGCGCACAAGACGAGGAGCGTGAACCGCATCAGCGGAAATCCAACTATGCTCCTCAGGCCCATAGCCCTTCCAATGCACTAGGTACTGAAGTCGGCCCCTAAGGAAACGAGAGTCAAGAACTGCAGAAACTTCAAATTCCTCATGACCCTCCACAGAAACAGGAGGGGGAGGAGGTGCATGTCGGGTGTAGCGGTTGCGTATGAAAGGCTTTAACAACGAGGTGTGAAAGACATTAGGAATACGCAGATTCTTAGGGAGACCCAAGGCATACGAAACAGGATTAACCTTATGCAGAATACGATAAGGACCAATAAAGCGGGGAGCCAACTTCATAGAAGGCACCCGGAGGCGAATGTTTCGCGTAGAAAGCAGAACCCTGTCCCCCACAACATAAGAAGGAGCCGCCCTGCGATGCTTGTCAGCCTGCACCTTCTGGCGAGCAGCGGAATCCACCAAAGAACGCTGAACCTGCTCCCAAGTATTACGCAAATTAGCCAAATGTTCATCCAGAACTGGCATGCCCTGTGAGGAGAAAGCAGCCGGAAGAACAACAGGATGTTGGCCATATACAACGTAAAAAGGACTCTTGCCGGAAGAATCATGAGTAGCGTTATTCGAGCAAACTCAGCCCAAGGAAGAAGGTCAGACCAATTGTTCTGATGGTGGGATACGAAACAACGAAGGTACTGCTCCAGAGATTGATTGGCACGTTCGGCAGCTCCATTAGACTGGGGGTGGTAAGCGGAAGAAAATGAGAGAGAAATACCCATTTCCGAACAAAAGGCCTTTCCAGAACCTGGAAATAAATTGGCTACCCCTATCAGATACAATAGATACGGGAATGCCGTGTAATCGAAACACCTCTCTGGCGAAAACAAGTGCTAGTTCCCTGGACGTGGGCAGCTTGTGAAGAGACACAAAGTGAGCCATCTTGGAAAACCGATCCACTATCATTAGGATAACTGTGTTACCATTCGAGGGAGGTAATTCAACAATAAAATCCATGGACAGGTTAGACCAAGGTCTCTCGGGAATAGGTAACGGATGCAACAGCCCACAAGGAACCCTACGAGAAGATTTCATACAGGCACAAGTAGTACAAGCACCTATATAGTCAGTGACATCCTTGCGTAAGGAATCCCACCAAAAATACCGAGAAACTGCTGACACCGTTTTGGAAATACCAGGATGTCCAGCAGTCTTAGTGTCATGATACAACGACAGAATCTCCCGTCTCTCGGGAACATCAACGAATAGTTTATCAGTAGGTCTCTCGCTAGGTGCCATGTTTTGTTTCGCTTGTATGGCCTGCAAGAGGGACGAAGAAATAGACAAAACAGTGGTAGCGATTATCCTTTCTGGGGGAATCACAGGAGTAACATCAATCTCCTGTTTGTCAGCAGTTTCGAACTGTCTGGACAGAGCGTCTGCTTTAGTGTTGCGGTCACCTGGCCTATAGGTGATAATGTAATTGAAATGGGACAAAAATAGTGACCACCTAGCCTGCCGAGAAGACAGTCTTTTAGCCTCACTAAGGTAGGATAGGTTCTTATGATCCGTAAATATGAGAATAGGATCTTTAGTTCCTTCTAACAAATGTCTCCATTCTTTCAGTGCTAAAATAATAGCAAGGAGTTCGCGATTACCCACATCATAATTCTTTTCTGCTTTGGACATTTGTTTGGAGAAGAAGCCACAAGGATGCAATGGCTTTTCAGGCGACTCTCTTTGGGATAAGACAGCACCTACCCCGATATCAGAAGCATCAACTTCAAGAATATAGGGCAGTGTGGGGATAGGGTGCTGTAAAATAGGTGCAGAAGCGAATGTGGTTTTAAGAAACTCAAAAGCCTGAAGTGCCTCGGGAGACCAGACACGAGTATTGCCTCCCTTTCTTGTCATACGGGTGATAGGCGCTACAATAGAGGAAAAACCTTTAATAAAGCGTCTATAATAATTAGAGAAACCAAGAAAACGCTGAATGGCTTTCAAACCTTGTGGAAGAGGCCATTCCATGACAGCAGAAAGCTTCTGGGGATCCATACGAAAACCTTTAGCGGAAATTAAATACCCCAAAAACTGGACTTCGGATTGGTCAAATAGACATTTTTCCAGTTTACAATAAAGACCATTAGCAAGAAGGGTCTTCAGAACTGTCGTAACATGCCTGTGATGAGTGTGTAAATCTGTAGAGTATATTAATATGTCGTCTAAGTACACAATTACAAATGTGTGAATAAAGTCTCTTAAAACGTCATTGATAAATTCTTGAAATACTGCTGGGGCATTGCATAGACCAAATGGCATAACAGTATACTCGTAATGGCCAGATCTAGTGTTGAATGCCGTTTTCCATTCGTGGTCTTTCTTAATACGTATTAAATTGTATGCACCTCTAAGATCCAATTTAGTGAATACAGTAGCATGTTTGAGTCTGTCAAATAATTCTGTGATTAAAGGTATAGGATATGCATTTTTGATGGTGATTTTATTTAGACCTCTATAATCGATACACGGTCTTAAATCACCTTCTTTCTTTGATACAAAGAAGAACCCCGCTCCAGCCGGAGAAGAGGATCTCCTAATAAACCCCTTTTCTAATGATTCCTTAATATACTCCTCCATGACACGGTTTTCTTGAACAGATAAAGGGTACACCCTGCCCTTTGGAGGTATTGTGCCAGGCAATAAATCGATAGCACAATCGTAGGGTCTGTGAGGTGGTAATTTGTCAGCCTCCCTTTTATCGAAGACAGTTTTGAGAAATAAGTACTGAGAGGGTATAACAGTGGACAAAGGAGGAGTTGTAGGGACATTAATAGAATTCAAAGGGGTGACTTCAATAGTACAGGACTCATGGCAGGCATCGCTCCATGATTTTATTTGCCCTGACTCCCAATCGAAAATGGGATTGTGAGTACGTAACCATGGGTACCCTAACACAATGTGAGAAGAGGGAGATGTGATAACCTGGAATCGAATGGTTTCAAAGTGTAAAACCCCTGTATACATGTGTAATGGTACAGTTTCATGAGTAACAATTGGAGAACTTAATGGTCTACCATCTATGGCCTCAATGGCCAAGGGTATCTCCCTTTCTCTGACGGGAATGTTATTTTTCGTAACAAACTCAGAGTCAATAAAGTTCTCAGCAGCCCCAGAATCAACCAAGGCTAATATGCATTCTGCTATACAACTCACCCCCATATGAAGGGAAACAGGGAGAAGCAAACGATTAGGAGGCAATTTAGGAGACTTAGAGATCACACCCAAGGCCAGTCCCCTATAAGGTCTTAGGTGCGAGAGTTTTCCGGACGCAAAGGACATTCCCTTACCATATGGTCTCGCCTACCACAGTATAGGCAGAGTCCATTCCTTCTTCTAAGTAGTTTTTCAGTATCCGAGAGTTTGGCAACCCCTAATTGCATGGGTTCCTCCTCGGGTACTTTAACACTCTCAGGTTTATCAACTCTGGGGTTAATAGATGTGACCAGACGTCTATTCTTGTTTTTGGTATAGAGCCTGTCGCGAATTCTATTATCTATATCAATGAGGTAGTCAATAAGATCCTCTAATGGGAATAGGAAGCTCCCTTGCCGCTACCTCATCTAATATAGTGTCAGATAAACCTTCCATGAACGCAGTAGTTAACCCATTATTGGTCCAATCTACCTGTGAAGCAAGGGTACGAAACTGAATAGCATAATCCGCCACAGACCTAGACCCCTGTTTAATCCTCATTAATGCTCTTGCGGCATTCTTTGACCTCTTTGTTGTGTCAAAAGTTCTACGAAAAGCCGCAAGAAAACTATTGAAATCATGAACCATAGGTCCATTGGCCTCCCAAATAGGATTTGCCCACTCTAGTGCTTTGTCAGTAAGTTGATGCATCAAAAACCCCACTTTAGACCTATCAGTGGGAAAGGAATGAGGATACATCTCAAGGTGGAATTCTATTTGATTAATAAAACCTCTGCATGTCTTGGCTTCCCCTCCATACCTAGGAGGAGGTGTTAAATGGGGCGAAGCATTGGTTGAATTGGATACTTCGGGAGGATGAGGTGTAGGAGGGTTAGGTGCGGTTGCAGGAATGGTTCTAGACAAGAGCGTCTGGAGAGCCTGTGCTATCTGATCCATACGGTGATCCTGCTCTACAAACCTTGCCTCGTGAGAAGCCATTTGCTGAGCCAAATCTGCGGGGTCCATGGCCCTATCGTAATGTAACGAGAATATACCCCAACACGCAGGATTCAGCTAAACAAAAGACAACACAGAGGAGAGATACGTCTACCGGACCTTAGAATGGCCGGACTCGACGTATATGAGAGGAGACAGAGTCAGGAACAATCCGAAATCAAGGGCACAGAGAGACAGCGTAAACTAGGACAAGCCGGGGTCTGGTACACAGTAAACAACAAGCCGACAACCAGAACAGATAAGGATAAAGAGAAAACGTAGTCAGAAACAAAGCCAAGGTCAATACGGAGAAACACAACTGAACACAACAAGCGCTAAAGGGAACTGATACAGAAACCACGATAGGGCAAGGAACAAAGGAAAGAAGGTGAGTATAAATACCTAAACATCTAATTTGATTGGTCCCTGTCACATCCACGCCCCCAAAAGGTAAGTGTATGGGGAGTGTGGCATGACAGGGACCAATGGGATGCCTTTTCCAATTTAGGCACCCACTGTCCCTTTAAGAGCGCGCCCGATACCCGCGGCGCGCTCTTAGAGTATGTGGAACACGTGACCGCTACTAGTTACAGCGGTCGGCTGAGCCGCGCGCGGCTCGTGCAGCAGCAGGACCGCGCGCGGCTCGAACAGAGGACCCCGGCCGGCCCCTGGAAAGGGTAAGTACCGCTACACTTATAGTGCAATATCTCAACTTTAATTTGAGGTTATTTACATCTAAATAAAAGGAAGGGTTTAAGAATTACAGCTCTTTAATATGTAGCCCCCTCTTTTTCAAGGGACCAAACGTAACTGGACAATTGCTTTAAAAGCTTTTTTCATGGACAGGTGTGGGCTATTCCTTCGTACTTCACCAATTAAGCAGGTAAAAGGTCTGGAGTTGATTCCAGGTGTGGCATTCACATTTGGAAGCTGTTGCTGTGAACCCACAACATGCATTCAAAGGAACTCTCAATGCAAGTGAAACAGGTTATACATAGGCTGCAAAAAAAAATAAATCCATCTGAGTAATAGCAGAAACACTAGGAGTAACCAAATAAACAGTTGAGTATATTCTGAGAAAAAAAAGAACGTACTGCTGAGCTCTGCA